CGCCGGCACTCCAGGGACCACCGTCCCCAGACGTGTGGCGCTTACTGACCCAGACCTCTTCCCTGAACTCCAGACTCGTGCATCCAATAGCTGTCCACTAACGGTGCAGGGACTTTCACGTGATAGAAAGTGTTGCGGGTTTGGCATTGGACCGCTAGCCACAAGTTTGGCAATTCAACACACACACACACACACACACACACACACACACACACACACACACCCGCTGCACCATGAAGAAGTGTGGTCTCAGCAACCCAACATAGGGTCACTGCGAGTCGGAATAAGCCCCATAGCAACTCAGTACGATAGTCTTGCTTATCACGATGACCAGTACATGATAGAAATAGACTTCTTTCTTAGGCACCCCAGGGACGACTATGGCAGCTTGGTGGTCTCCAGCAAACGGGCGTCTCGGACCTGAGTGCTTCACCGTCCTCATCACAGGACTTCCTCCTCGTGGTGTAAGATGGCAGCACAGCTGTACTGTCACCTCTGCCTTGTGGTCCATTAAAAAAAACAGAACAGCAAAGGGAAAATGTCAGGTTCCCTTCCTTCCAGAGTGTGTGCTGGAAGCTACCTCCGCGACTCAGGGCGTCCCACTGGGCACCACGTAGACCCAGCGGAAAAACAGACCTTTCTGGGCAATTTTGTGATCGACAGCCCGTGGGCAATATTGATGCAGAAAAGGCATTTGGGGGGCGCCACTTAGCAATCTCTAGTGAAATAGCTAAATTTCCATCTCCCAGAGTAGAATGCGTTCAGTGCAGTCTGCCACGGATAAGTCATGAGGTAGCCTCTAAGCTGCTTATCACAGACCTGAAGAACAATGCTTAATGCAGATAGCTAACTGGGTTGAAAGCAGTTGTCTATGGAGGGCAGAGGGCAGTGCAGGGGCCTGATGTTTTTTGCAGATTAAGACTATCAGTACTGTTTAGCTCATTCCATGAAGAACATATTATGGCAATTAAATTTGAGAAGTCTTGATTAAAACACTGAGGCTAGGCCGGTGATGACATATTAAGGAAGCTTTAAAAAAGTTTATAGGGAAATGGAGTTAAAAGGTCATGGAATCTTTCCACAAACGTCTTGAAGCCCCGTCATATAAAGACTGTGAATGAAGTCGCCCCACACCCCTTGCACCTGTTTGTTTTCCACCTTGTCAGCTCTCTCCAAGGCCAAGCCATTTCTGACTTAGGCAGAGCTTGTGGTAGATGCATGAGTATTGGCAAGTGTTGGGGGGTCAGGTTCGAGGCCTTCATCCACATGCAGTCCCCTCATTTTTTTTCTGATTAATCAGAGGTTTGCAATATTGGTGAGGCAGGGAGCTGAGACTTTCTGGAGCCAAGGAGGCTAGAAGAACCCCTGAAACTATTGCCCTAAAAACTCTTAAGTCAATAATATTCCCCCACGTCTTAAAAGCACACAGTAGCGTAGCTTAGATTAATCAGTGAAATAACCTCCATGAGCATTGGGTTTTTAAAAACTACATCCGTGATCAACTTGACAGCAGCAACTCAAAAGATGCGGTAGGAAGCTTAGAGGGCTGTGTGGGTTTATGTTAATGGCAGCAGCAACAACTTCGAAAGGTTGAGAATGGTTGAGGACCGTAATCAGTGCCTCTGGCTTATACATGTAGAAATGATTGAACTGGTGTGTGCCTGTTGTGTGTGCATTCTAAACAACCAAAATAAATGCTGTGTATACACACAAAAACGAGCTTCAAAAAGCTCATCAAAAATGGAATGAAAAGATAATGGAGTTTTTCCAGCAACTTTTTGAAGCCCTCTGAGCTAGGTAGGTAGGTAGAGGAGGAAGTACCATATGTTCTCGAGTATAAGCCAACCCGAGTATCAGCCGAGGCACCTAATTTTACCACAAAAACTGCATTAAAAATGCTGAAAAATTTGGCTTATACACAAGTATATACGGAAAATGTCTTTGGTTTAGGCGTTTCGTCTTCGTCTCTGACGTGGCTGGTAAGACTCACTCATTGGCGGCAGCCCTCCCTTGGCCCTCTTTCATCTGTGGTTGTTCAGAGACTGGGCCGATAGGCATCAACTACAACCCATAGAAGTTTACTTCCTGAAAGTACCTTGCCACCGAGGAGGCTGAGAACAGGAAGAGAGAGAGAGAGAGAGAGAGAAAACGCCACGGCTGCCGAGTTCCACAGCAGCCCCCTTAGGAAGAAACCAGAATTGTCAGTAGATCAAAAAAGAGGGGGAAAAACAAGGTTTGGTTTTGTTTTTTTCCAAATGAAATGCTGTGAGAGAAGTGGTCACCCACTTTTCACGAGGAATGCATTAAGCCACCCAGTTACAAACCGTCAGGTGGTCTGTCTGTGCACTCTAGGCCAAGAGGAGTGGTTGATAATGAGAGACAAAGGTCTGGAAAGGAAAGCAGTCATTGGACTTGTGTTTAATCACTTTTTATTTTCTCAGCTCTCAGTCATCGTTACCGGGGGTGGTACTTACTACATAACTTAATCAGGGAGTTCAGACAGCAAGGGGAATAGAAGGGCGGGAGGAAAGGGTAACAGTTTAGACCAGATCGTGCCTGCAGATGCATGGCACGGATGGAGATGAGGCCCATTAAGGGCCTCATCACAGAAGCAGCTCTTGACACTGATCATTTGTGAAAAGGAAATTTTTTTTTTCTTACCCATATACTGCCATTGTGTACACTTCTACCTACAAACCGTAAGCAGCGGTACATCTGATCATTAGCTTAGGGAATTACTACCACCAAGCCACTTTGAAAGAGCAGACAAGGTTATTAACTTTGGCAGGAAATGAAAATTTGGCCTTAATATACATGTGAAATTGAATTGTCTGTAGCTCAAAGCTTTGGAGATTACCCATGCAAAATGAGAAAACGATCTACATTTAAAATTGTCCTCAGTACAGTGGAAAGTAATTTTACAGGCTGCATTTTTACTGCACTGCAATCCGTGAAGAGATTGGCTCTATTAATTTAGACTTAAACATAGGCTCTGTGTCTTCTAAAAATGGTAAATGAGATGGAAAATGTACTTTAGAGGGAAAAATGAATTTTCTGGAAATGCTGCAGGCAGGCAGGCTCCATACTGCACCTCTCGGAGGCTTCGGAAGGAAGGTTCTACCGCCTGTGACCTACGTGTGGGCTAAGAACGTGCAGGCACGCCTCAGCAGCATGGCCCAGGTGCCCCAGTAGCCTTGGAGCAGCAGGGGAAGGCCCCAAAGGAAGTCATTGGCAACATTTGGTTCTCAACCTTGTGGGTTGCAACCCCTTTGGGGGTGGAACGACCCTGTCACAGGGGTCGCCCGATTCAGAACAGTAGCAAAATGACAGTGATGAAGTTGCAACGAAAACAATTTTAGGTTGTGGGGGTCACCACAACAGGAGGAACTGTATTAAAGGGTGGTGGCATTAGGAAGCCTGGGAACCACTGTTATAGCCCCCCCTAGGTGGTTGGGTCCTCAACAGAGAAAAAGATGTTGAGTTGAATTGATTTTTTCTGATATCAAAATCACTGTAGTGGTTTACTTGCCAGTCCTGTCTGGAATGATACTGCAGTGTAACTTTGAATGCTCTACTTACCTTCTCACACCAGAAATTACCATTTCATTATGAATTTGTTGATCACTAAACGAACAGATGGCGATTGCTTTGTAAGCATGGTTCAATGCCTTCCTTAGCCATTAAGAATACCCGTTTCAGTGAGAGTGGTGTTACCAGGAGGGTGGGATAGAAAGGGGGAACCGATTATAAGGCTCTACCTATAACCTCTTCCCTGGGGAATGGACAACAGAAAAGTGGGTGAAGGGAGATATCCAACAGTGTAAGATATGACAAAATAATCATTTATAAATTATCAAGGGTTCATGAGGGAGTGGGGAGCGGGCAGGGAGGGGGAAAAAATAATAAGCTGGTGCCAGGGGCTTAAGTGGAGAGCAAAGGTTTTGAGAATGAGGAGGGCAATGAATGTACAAATATGCTTTACACAATTGCTATATGTATGGATTGTGATGAGTTGTATGTGCCCCTAATAACAATGATTTTTTAAAAAAAGAATACCACTTTAATATAATAGCCAGTGTGCAAGAAATGACAAATACTAAGCTGTCTCTTGTCAAAGGTCTTCCTCCTCCTTCACACACACCCCCCCACTATGAGTTGGGCTGCTGCTCACTGTAAGATCAGCAGTTCGAAACCACCAGCCGTTCCTCAGGAGAAAGATAGGGCTTTCTACTCTCGTAAAGAGTTACAGTCCTGAAAACAGAAAGGCCGGCTGCCTCGTCCTAGAGGGTCTTTATGAGTCAGCATCGACTCGATGGCAGCGTTTGTTTGGGGTTTGAAGCTGTCTCATTGAATGTTGTCCTTCCTCGGCCACTGCCCCTCTGCTTTGCCAAGCACCATATCCTTTTCTAGGGACCGGCCTCCTCATCACATGTCCAAAGTACACGGGACAAGCTCTCGCCATCCTTGCTTCTGGGGAGCGTTCTGGCTGTGCTTCTTCCGAGACAGATGTGCTCGTTCTGTGTGGCGCTTTCGATGTCCTTCACCAACACCATAGCTCCTCCAATGCACCAGTGTTTCTTCAGCCTTCCTGGCTTCTCAACACGATGGATTGATACACTGACTGCAGCAAGGGGGTTGGCGCCAGACCAGGCCATGTGTGGTGCTGTCGTGCATAGGCTCGCCATGAATCGAGCCAACGACAACAAGCTGTCTCTCTTAGAGCTGTGTATTTAGAGTTGTAAGAACAAGGCAACTCGGAACACATACGTGATTTGCCTCTTCCTGGTCCTTAGCGCCTCTCTAGAACGAAGGTCACCTGAACTTGCCGCGACGTTACATATTCACTCCAGCTTTGACGGCAACCCTGCCGAGGCAGGGGACACACGGTAACACAGTCAGCCGCTCTTTCTTGGCCTTTTCCCTTCCTCTCCGAGTTTCCTCCTCGACTCCCACCCACAAGACAAGGGTGTGAGATACCTTGTTTTGTTTCTGCTTTCCAGGTATTGCTGTGCTGTACTTACATCTCTATGATGTGTTCGGGGACCCTGCCTACCTACAGATGGCACTTGGCTACGTAAAGCAGAGCCTGAACTGCTTGACCAAGCGCTCCATCACCTTCCTGTGCGGGGACGCCGGCCCCCTGGCGGTGGCGGCCGTGCTGCATCACAAGATGAAGAACGAGAAGCTGGCTGAAGATTGCCTCACGCGGTAACCGCTCTCTGCTTTGAGGATGGCTGTCTAGACCCCGTACACAGCATTCCGTCAGCAGGTAGCAAGGACAGTCTAGTGCACGCACCGCTTCTCTCCCAGCAGAGGACTCTCACTCCTGTCATTCGATCATAGTTAATGAAGCACCAGTATCATCCCGGTTTTGTCGTAAAACACAGCAACACCGACATGTCCCTAACCAAACATCAGACCAGGAACAGAAATGAGATTTTTAAAAATCTGACTGTGTAATAACTAATCTAAGGTGCGCTACAAGATCAATAATTTGGGAGAGGGGATGCAGTACTTGCTATTGGTGGCCTGAGAGAGGCCCCCCTCAAAACCACCTTTTTTAGGGGGGGTGACATACAGATTCAGATTTCCAATTTTAACATAAATAACAACTGTCCACTAGAAGCCTGTGAGTGACGACAAGTTACTAAATGTTACAACCGGGTCTCGCCTTACTGGGGCCGTGGGGGCTGAGTGCCTGTGGGAGCCCCAGAACCAGTTCCCAGCCAGCCAGTGCCCCGCATGTGCAGCCCCTCCTGCTTGTCTGCGGATGCTGAACGAGTCCCAGGGTAAGATAGACTGGGAAGAAAGGCCAGACGATCCACTTCCAACACTCACTCAGTTCACCGCAGTGGCCCTTCCACCGCTGCTCATGCAGATGGCCCGGCAAGGGCAGCATTTCGTGTGGCTGTGCCTGGTGTCTGCGTGAATGGGGACCAACTCAATCACAGTTAAGGACAGCTGCCTTAGGAGAGTTTCTTGAGCAGTCTTGCTGACAAGTCTGGCTGCCTGAAGTCTGCAGGCGGTCCTGCTGGGCACCCACCCACCATCTGACACATGCTGGGTTGGAATTCCAGCAACATTTTCATCAGTAATTGTCCCTGGGTTCAAAGGCCCCCTTTTGGCACCGTGGTTAAGCACTCAGCTCCTAAAGAGAAGGTCAGTGATTTGAACCCGCCAGCCAGGGAAAGGTAGGGCAGATTTGCAGCCTTGGAACCCTTACAGCAGCTTGTGCTCCAGTCGCTGGGAGTAGAATTGGCTGGAGTTCAGGGCGCTTGTGCGTGAGGTGACTGTGGCGTTTGGTCCCCCCGGTTCTTCCTTCCCAGAACTGTTAGAGGGGCGATAAGTAGCATCCGCAGGTTAGGGTTTTGAGGGTCTCTTGTTAATCTTGCCTAATTTTGTGTTCTTTATTTGCACCAATAGATTTTGGGCCTGAAATTCTAATAACTGCACTTTAAAAATACTGTTGTGTTATATTTACATAGGACTCTTCTATACCTCTGTTGCTTAAGCAAGTGTTTGCAAGCTCCTGCTCCCCCAAAGTCCCCATACAGTTTTACCATTATATAACCTGTAGTTTTCTGCTGCAAAGCAGGAGAGAGCAGGGGAGGTCAGGTGAGGGTGTCTTGTTCTACCGAGTAGAGTGCTGTGTATAATATTCAGTTAGAATGTATTGCCTCCTTCCCTGAATTGGTTGAGGTTACTTGTTTAGCCAATTCCTCTGCTACAACTAAAGACCAGTGGTGGTGCTGTGGGTTAGGCATTGGACTACTAATATCAAGGTCAGCAGTTCAAACCCACCAGCCTCTCCCCTTGGAGAGGTATGTGAAGCTGACCACCCATGTAAATATTTATCATCTCAGGAACCCTACACAGGCTTGCTGAATTGGAATCCACTCAATGTTTCGAGTTTTGTTTGGTATTGGTGTTACAACTATCAGAGATTATACAGTCCAACATAAAAAGAAACAAATAGTTTGAATATTTGGAAGAAAAAACAGCCTTCTACTCTTCGGGTGGGAGGCTTGTCACTGAGCTTGGCCAAAATGGCAGCGGAAACAAAAGAGCCATTTCCCTGTTAGTTTAATGAACATGTGTTGCTTCCATAGAAGTTACCTTGCCCTAGGCTAGCCAATGCAAACAGACTCAGAAGTATATTCCAAACACATGAAGCTACTTTTTTTCCTTTCTTGCCAATCAGTTAGCCCTTAGCCTCAAATCTGAAGTATTAGCACTGTTGGTCTTAATTAGCATTCTCCATTGCAGTGGCTACAGTGGCTACACTGAACTTGCAGGCAGTATCCATGATTAAAGGGTTTATTAAGGAAATTGATAGCTTATACTGCAAGGGAGAAATGCTCAGGATAGAGTTGTTTACCAGGACATGTTACAAAGTTCTTTCAGGTCGGCGTATCACTCCACTGTAAGACTCAACTCGAAGGAGTTCAGCTCTAGCTCTGTTGATCAGCAAACTCGGCTCCCTGAACTGAATGCCCAGAAGCACACCACTCCAGTAAGCCTCAGCCCAAATGTGCCCAGCTCCATCCTTGGGTCAGCAAGTCCAGCGTCCCCAATTAAGTACCCAGAGCCACCCCACTCCACAAACCAGGCACCCACTCCCACCAAAAAGCATTCAGCTTTACTTGCTCTGTGGGCTGGGAAATCCTTCTGTGTTCCATGCTGGCCCTGGTCCTGCTCTGGCTCCCCTGAAGGGACAGCTGTCTTCTGGATCCTGGAGGTTCGCTGCACAGAGGACACGCTCTGCTCCTGCCTCGTGCTGGTAATGCGGTCGTCCCCCTGCATCACAGAGGGCTCATTTCATAGGCAGCAGGAGGGCATTCCAGAGGAGCCTGTTCAATTACTCACAGATGAATCCTATCAGTACCTTCACCTACCTTCTTACCAAACTGCTGCGGGAAGAGGTCATTTGAGGGGCGTTGGGGACTTGGGCTGGAAGAACTGTATTGAACAATGCATGCCCTTGAATGGTCTGCATCAAGCAGCATTCAATGAGTCACTCCAGGGATCATACAATCAAATTGGAGTGGTCCTATATTTTCTCTAGTATACCAACTTTTCCCAGCGTATGCACTGCCAAATGGCAATAGTTTGCTATGTAAGGAATGTGAATAGGTGTTGAGTGGACACAAGGTCGGAATATTTAAACAAATCTGGGAAACGCTGAAGAACACAGTGAAATGCCTGTCTTTCCGGTAGGGCTGCTCTGGTTCTGGTAGCTTCACATGAGAGAAAACAGGAGGGTACTGAGGAGCAGCATTCACCAGACTTTGAAAGGCATCTTAGGGGTTAGTCTAACAAAGTCTTTGGGAAACGCTCCCGTGTATCAGATGGTTTTTTGACTATTAAGACATCCTAAGGGTAAGCTAAGGTGGCATTCTTTTTTGGATTCTTGGTCATAGACGGGCTTTTGTTATTTGTATTTTATTTAAATTGTCTGATTATCAGTATTTTATTTGTAGTCACTTGACTAGATGACAGTAAATTGCAGAATGTGGAAATATGATAGAAAAAAAGCTGTGAGCACAATTTTGATTTTTTTGTTTGTTTGTTTCTGAATTCATAGCAGAACAGAAAGGCCAACAAATAGGAGGGCTTTTGTTTAGCCACATAATTATCTCCATCTTTCATGTCTCCTCCCTTGTAGGGAAGATCATCTCTGTCTTTTAAATTCAATTTCTGCCACTCTGAAAGTATTTTGTGTCACCAGTTATTTAATAAACCCTGCTTCTCCAGCAGCGTTTGCTGTACTTACTGCCAAGCCTCCCTTCTTCGGGGCATCCCAGCCCCGGCAGATACCAAACAGGCAGACAAACCTGCGTGTTGCTGGAAACCGCTTCCCCGACAGTTTGCCCCTCCTACCTTTTCCTAAGGCGACAGTCTCCCACAATCAGAACTGTGAGCTTTCAAGAGCAAAAGGACCCTGGTGAGGTCATTTAAAGTCCCTTTTACTACAAAGGCAAAGAAACCAAAATCAAAGACGTCAGTCTTTCCTCGGAGTAGAGATTCTTAAACTTTGGTTCTAAGAATAGTGAGCTCCCCGCCCAAACCCACCACCGTCAAGTCCATTCTGGCTCACAGGGGCCTTTGGGGAGTTTCCAGTCTCCATGGGAGCCGGCAGCCCCGTGGTCCCTCCCTCTGCGAAGCTGACCTTGCTGTTAGCCGGCCAACGCCCAAACCACAATACCACCAAGGCTCCTCTCGGCCTTCCCAGAGATGTGTAAAACCCCAAATTTATTTCAATACAGAGAACACATTTACATTACATTTTCCTCACAAGGTAAGAAACCCACGATTATAAAATTGCACAACTGTAGTAAAGAAAGACTGTGTGTGTTTTCGTGTTAAAATTGCCCTGCAGTGCCAAGGTGAGATGAGTAGGGGATGGTGAATAACTGAAGCTCCTCCTGTCGCCTGACTTACACCGCACCCATTTCACTCTTCTCCACAGAGCTGTCGAGCTATTAAGGGAATAGCAAGCGGGGTTCCCTGTTTTGTCAGTAGAGTGGTTATGATTAGCCCGGCCCAGATACTGTTTGGGGCTCCATCGTGAAGACCGACGGAGAACTCTGCCGTTCTGGTTGGGAAAAGTATTCACCCTTTTCTTTGCTGTGTGCTGGGTCCGAAAAGGGCTTCTTTTTAAAAACGTACAAACCCTTTGATTAAACATGGCACACTCTCCCCAGTAGCACCGGCGGAAGTGCTTTTGGGAGTGGAGTAGAATGATCCTGTGCCGTGGGCTGCCTTCATCCTTCATGGTGTCTCACAGTCTTGTGTCGTCTGAGGATGGCTTGCTGTTGATATCAGCATACCAAAACAAAGAAATGGAGCTGCACGATGTACTTCTGGGTTTCTGAAAACACATAAAATAACCATTATGATCTATAAATGCTGTCATTTCCTCATTTTATCTTGAGACTATAGCATGCAAAACCTGCATCCAGAAGCCCTGCCTCGGTCAGCTTGAAGGAGCAGTCAGAATATTAGGAGCAGAGCGTTTCTGCTCACAGGAGGAATGACTTGGAAAGGGACAGTGGGTTATTCTCAACAACACAAGTATAACTTGCTCTAAAACCCTGCCTTTGGTCATCATCGGGCCCAACTAATGAATTTTAGTGACTTGGATTCAAATCCAGGACAACTTCAATATGCTGTTACCCTAAAGTAGTATTTTAATGTTATACTCTAGG